TTTATGCAAGGTTGGTGTGGAAACTATCGTATGAAAAGAAATTAAAGTTACGAGTATAAACTCAGCTGCTAACTACCATGAAAACCAATTTTTTTCCAGAAAGACCATTAGCACTTATATTTACCTTAAAAGAAACCAGTAATAAATAACAAAAGTGCCGGCAGGCAGGTTCATATGATGAAAGCGAGTAACAACAAAAATCTCTTCTAAAAGCTACTGTGGTTTTATACATTTTTTGATTTACTAAAATGAAAGGATTTGAAATGGCCAAATGTGAAAGTTTACGAGTAAATATGTTCCGAATAACAACCACACAGAAAAACCAGTAAATTTTCCCGTAACATAAGGTTAGGGAGAAGTTATGGTGGTAATTGACCCTTTCTTTGCTAGGATGCATAGGGTTTGATGATTGTAATGTATATCTTTTAGCTTTAAAACTTTCAACTTTGTATAAATTGTAACTGTTTGCCATATCTATTTCTCTGTACGTTAATCCCTCAAAGTTGAAGCAGGTGAGTCAATAACCTGACTTCCTTTGTCTGGAATTGTGTGATTATATAATTTTGCTGTGTAAGTTACCACATTGTAACATGTAATAGTATTATTTAGATTGCATTAAATACTCTTTCTCAAGCTTTCATTAATGCATGGTATTTCTTATCAATGCTTATACCCAAACGAAACTTTGATATACGGAATTGGTTTCAAGACACGGGAGTTTTAAAGGGCTATAATCTGGAAAGGCAAGGATCTTCCTTTAATTTGGACTGAAATCAATGGGGCCCCTCCTTTTTTAATTCATGTTTTTACTTTGACGTGCCTCCTCCCCTGTAATGTTCAGGGCACATAGATGAAGAGAACATTGTTTATATTTTAACGCATGAAAGTTATTAAGGCTCAATTTTCCAAACTGCAATTATAAGTTACGCTCAATAGAATATAATTGTAACTGATCCTGACATCATACACTTCATCTGAAGAAGAAAACATTCTCTATCTTCGAAAATTTGCTCAAAACATCCGGAACAACAACGAGGATCTCAGGCTGTTTAAAGATACCGCTAACTAGCATGGGTGTTGATCGCCTTGCAAGTTGTGAGAGCATCATCCCCAGGTTCCAGACTTCGTCAATTGTTTCCCCCCTCCCCAACTTCCGGACTGGGCTGGGTTGTTCAAAGCTGGGTTAAGATAACCAAGGGTTGGTGTGAACTCTGATTTCAGATCTGAAAGCTTTAAAAGAAATTAAATATAATTATTTTTGTTAAGAATTTGATGATTGGATGCTCGATATAGAATAGAGGAAATGATCCCAAAAAGGCTTTCGAACAAAGGAGTAAAGAAATCCAGATTAAAATTTAACCCTGTGTTAGCACTAATCCGCCTCCGAACAACTGGGCCCTGGTCTCTAAATCCCCTTGAGGAAACTCTTCTACAATCAGTGCTGAAGAGTTTTATTACAGTTTTTATTCAGTATAATGAAGGGCTGGAAAATAACCTAACTAGAGCTCCGCTTTTAGGCTTGGCTAAATCTATATTATATAGATAGATAGCAGTTTTCAAGAAGTTTGTGGACTCCTCGACGTGTGCATGACCAGCGGCGTTCATGACGAAAGGTAAACCTTAAAAGACTTTCAGCTGTTATTCACTTTTAAACCTAAAATATTTAGATTACAGTGCACAGAAGTTTTTGTGTTCAATATTGTTGACTCACTGAGAAGTAGAGGCAAAGTGAGTAGATAAAATCATTGTCCTTGTTTGTTTGTTTTCTGCTTTGTCTTTTTCTTCATTTTTCGCCACTGTGACCCACATACTTCTCATTATATTTGATTAAGAAAGACGTATTCAAAGATTTCTTTTTAACTTCAGCCGTGTGTAACACCAAAAGCAGCATATCAGAATGAAAAAGAAGAGACTTTTTTGTTACGCGAAATGTGGTCGGAAGTCGGGAGATCTTTTTCTTAGCACTTTCTACGCATCTTTAGTGTGTGCCGTTTAGTTTCAGACACTATAGCAAAACAAAGGCTTCCCGCTTGATCGCCTGATGTAAAAGCGAACCAAAAGTGATTTAATTTTTGTTCTAGTCTTTGGTTGAGTTCTCCAGATTAAAAAATAACTTCATTTAGGCGCTTTTAGAAAGGATAAATGGCGGAACGATTGGTTCTCCAATAGATGCAAATACCCGATTTCTAGCTCACCTGCAATTTCTATCGTCTTCAAACTAAACTTTTGAAGTCAAATTTCAAGTCAAAACGCTTCAGTAACAGCTTAATTTACCGTCTTAGCAGATTCCTCTAAAGACCGAGTTCTCCGTTCTTCCCTCCTCGTTCATCGTTTATCGTTTTTATCAATAAAGGGCAAAATTACTGAGCGCTGATTGGTTGAGAGAGAGGGCATTTTTTCTTAATCGAGGGCATTTTTAGTAATCAAGAGAGGGCATGATTACCTTGTTCAGTTAAAAGCACTTTGTTGTTTTTCTGTTGGCAGAAACGCTCTGTTGAAATGAGCTTTGTTTTCTAGACTTTTGGCAGTGTATCACGACACAGTTTTGGAGAATAAAATTTCATTGAATCGATTGGTCAGTTCAATTTGATTGATGATTTGCCGTAGCGCTAAACAGGCTTCCCAGATAAAAATAGACTGCGCGCGTGATTTTCCTTCGTATAAATTTTGCCCTTTATTGATAAACAAGTAATCCCATGAGACCTCGTACTATTAAGGATTAATTGCACTTGAGTTTTCAAAATTTTGGAAAATTTTGAAAACTCTCGTGCAATTAATCCTTAATAGTACTTGGCCTCATGTGATTACATATATTTAGTAACATCCCTCCAGAACATCACTTTCTGTTCCATTGTTTAAGTTAGTATGCATGGTCATACTGATACTGATTTATAAATTACATGTCAAGCATACACATAGCATGTGCTACACCGTTAAGAATGAGAATTCAAGAATGATTTTTCATGATTTGAAAAAAGAAAAATCACCAGCACTCTTTGAGTTTAGTGAAGAGCATGTACGCGACCTCTCAATATCAATGAAATTAAGGGTTTGATCCTTTGAGCTTGGCGGGAGGTCCAATAATTCAGTGCGACATCGTTTAGTCGCATCGCTTTTTATGTTACGATTTTAGAACTAGCTGTCGTTTCAGCGAAGAATGTGGTGGAATGAATAACCACTGTGTTTGACGAATGTATGGTGTTGATGACCAACAGACTCGGACCTCTGGTCAGAGAAAGCATCTCGCGGTGGAGGAAAATGAAAATTAAAGGAATATGTAGGAATATTGTATGTATAATGTCTACGTAAACTTTCTGCACACTTGACTACGTAACACAAGTGAAACAGAGTCATTTAATAAAAGGCACTGGTGTAGACTTTTTGGGTTTGTAAAACTGATGATCAAAAACGAAATAATGAAATTCTTCTCAGAAATCGTTGTAGATAATCGGCCACAATTTTATGACGTTCTTTCTCGATAGAAAGCAGAATGAATTGTAAAGCGAAATCAGAGTAGACCTCAAATCAGTTTTGACTAAAAGGCCGTTTGATAGTTTCTGTCTCTATGTAAAGCTGAATGCCAACCATTTGATAGCTGCAACGGTTACTAATTATTTTGTTAGTTGATTATGTCCTATCTCGAGAGAACCGCAATCTAAGTGACTCAAGACTATCAGCGTAAACCCCTATCGAAGTGCAAGAGAAGAGGATAGGGTTCTCGTTGTGATTGGATATTTTGAAAGAGAATATCAATTATTAACTGCTGAACACAGCTGTCAAGGTATGATTTAACCGACAGAAAGAACACTTATGATACTCCTACAAACCCAACCACCTTATCAAACAACGTGTAATATTCTTATCAAGGAGTGACTCCTAAAAAAAACAAAATAACGTTAGGGAATATTTCCAAACAGACGCTAAACTCTCCTTCATTTGAATGTTAAGACTATTCCTCAAGTATCCTCTGCTCCAGGCTGAAAGAGCGTTATTTTAATATTAGGTACTGTTTCTAGTACAATTATTTATATCAGCTGAGGAAAGAAGGGTTTTGACCAAAAGGTAACCTAGTTTATAATTATGTAAGATTGATGGACTCTTAACCTCTACTGAGAGTGACCGGAGAACATGGTCTCTTGGATGTAAGTCTCCTGAAACACGTACAAGCGATTTTTTGCACTTCCGGAAGCTCTGTTACTTTGGTTTGGTTTTGTCCTTCCTTCAAAGGAGAGATCTACAGAGATGGGTCAAGATATATTAGATCAATTTCGTGGAGAGAAAAATGTGAACTCGTGTACGGCATCATCATGCAGACAGAGTCAACTCAGAATTTTTCAACACCTTTTATTATATAAAAAACATTAAAGTTATTACATTAGCAACGTATCCAAGAAAAAAAGACTTCAACCCGTACCTACGACCAGTTTCGTTGAGTAATAGTATCTAGTACGCGAAAACTATCGGCCTATTAGGCCAAACAACAAACTTTCTTGCAGAAGTAATATGCCAAGTATAATTTTGATTAGAATTCCGTATAAAAGCATTTCGAGTTGGTATCGCAAGTAAGGCAGTCTTTGGGAAATCAATTTATGCGCACGATTAGCTTTCCTAAAAACAAGCGGGTTTGCGGCAAAATTTTTAAGCAATTTATTAAAATTGTACACAACTATGGCTTTCAGAGCGAGATCTCATCACCACCTCAGAATTGAGCCAGAAAATAAACTGAACTCGATCGCTTGTGTCGAGGCATATATGTAAGTACTTAATATGTTAAACTTTAAACTTATAACTTTATCAGTAAACTTATAAAAGCGTTTCAGCGTTTAAGAATATGAAGTCAATTGAATTACAATGTTACAGCCTAACTGCTAAACGCAACATGCCTATTTCTACCAAGTAAGCGTGTAAGGAAACGATGATTAATCCCTGAAACTTGTCAGGGTGAAGTGTTCAAACTGTCAGCCAGTCATACACTGTGGACGTGTATCTAACTACACCGTTCAATCCTCGACGTTTGCATACAATTGCTTGTCGTACATTTTCATGTCAATTAGCTTCTGCAGAGAAAAATAATATAATAATCAGCATCATTAAAAAAGTTTTAAGTGGTTATCCTCACAAGTGGTCAGGTTTTCACACCAAAACAAATTCAAGGAGGAAATATTTTATGGCGTCGTCGTCTGCTACTCTTTGTGCGTCTCACAATACAGTTTTGCAATCATCCTATGATCTTTTAAATAACCATAAGGTGTTTATTGTCATTGAGACATTCAATTGTCATTGAGACGCTATTTAAGCTCAATGCTGTTACTTTTAACCCTAATTAGCTGAGCCTTAGCCAGTCGGTCTTACGTGAAAAAAAACTTTCATATTGATAAAAATTCTGACCTTGTGTAGGGTTTCCATGTCCTTAAGCTGATTTTTCAATTCAGTGAAAGTTGGTCTTGAGTCTGGGTCATTCTTCCAGCATTTCATCATGATCTGATACCTGGTATTATTCAAATAATCTGTTAAAGATTTAAAGAATGTTTCCTTGTACGACGAGGGAGAGCAAGTAAATGAAGTAAACTTACAATTTTTCATCGACGTGTTGTGGTTTAGGCATCCTGTATCCATCCTGGAGTAAGTTTGCAATTTTTCTTCCATCCATTCGTGGGTAAGGTGAACCGCCTGGAAGAACCACAAGACCATCGAAATATAAATGTGACAAAAAAAACGACCTTCAATGAAACACCACCTTTGTCACTAGATGTAGTTTGAAGCTCATTACGTTTGTCTGACTGAACACGATACATTGTTTAATTAAACATGGTATAAAGCAAAAAACATCTACAGAGCCTCATAAAACTCCATTCGATGTTACCTATGGTGAAAATTTCGTATAATAGAACTCCATAACTCCATCTGCAGAAAGACAAATCAAACGAATATAAATTAAGTGACTATAGACATAAACAGTATATACGACGAATAAAATAAATGTATTCTTTGACAAAGCATCACTAGAATTCAAGTCCTGATTAAAATTGATAAAATTTTTGATAAACTGCTACGGGTTAAAATCAGGTATACTTACACGTCACTTTTGGTGGTATATTTACCATACAATAAGGCCTCATAAGCTGTCCACTTCACGGGAAGACGGCCCTAAAGATTTTAAATATCACTTTGTGAAACAGCTCGAGAATTATAGGAAGCGAGTAGTCAGAAATAGTGATATATAAAAATTGTACTCGTATACGCATGGCTGATAGTTTCATTAGGGTCCCAAGGAATTCATGATCGAAATCAGGAATATATCAGCTCAACCACAACAATGATGTCAAAGATCACTAAACTGAACGAAATGTGATACCGCCCTCACCTCCCCTTTTTCTTGATTACCTTTGTCTTTCGTTCATAAATATTTTCCTGCTGCACATCTCTGGCCATTCCGAAGTCTGTCACTTTACACATTTCCTTTTGTCCAACCAACACATTACGGGCCGCAAGGTCTCGGTGAATGATCTAAGAAAGAATTGATGTAACAGCAAAAATTAGCGATTGTAGATGAAAAAGAACTGAAATGAAATGGTTCAGAGAGGAAAATAGAAATATCTAGCAACATAATATGGTGTGTGTATTTCTTTTTCTTCCAGATGGCAGAAAATTAAAACTACTACAATAACTGCTCCATATTCCAAAGAGAAGCAAACTACTTTTTTTTGCAATACGTAGTCATTTCAAAGAACGCTTACCTTAACATTTTAATCGAAATAGGATTCTGTAATGAAGCAGTTTAGCGACCAAAGACGATTTTTTTAAGTTGAAGTTTTAATTCCTTTTCTTCCTTGTCACTAAAATGGATATTTGTTGTACACTCAGTTTAAGCTGAATATCTTAAAAGATCCTATTCCTTCACGTCTCTGCCTTTTCTTACACGAGAAAAACCCAGATATTTTATTTCGATGGGGTACACTTGCAACGATACACAAATATCGCCATTCTCGCATTGAAATAAAACTTGTATGATGACTTCAAAATCGGGAGGGTTCCTGGCCCTAAAGAAATAGCCTTGACAAGACGGTAAGAATACGTCTGCATCTCCCAGGCGTGATCTTGTGAAGACATAATATTCTATGCCAGACAGAGCTTAACATGACGATAGGCCTTACAAGAAGGTTTTAGAATTGTTTGTCTTTTGTGTTTTTAACTAACTTACAGATTTTGCGGACAAGTAACTCATTCCATCAGCAATTTGCCAAGCAAACTTCATCAGCTGCTGTGACGTCAGATTTGTTTGTGGTTTGATATCCGGGTCTTTGTAGTAAGTGTCTTTTAATCCACGGCTCTTTCTCAGGTAACCCAGCAGATCTCCAAAAGGCACATATTCAATCAAAACCAACAGCTGTTCTGAAGAAATTAAACAATTTAATTGATATGTTACTTTCTTTAAAAAAAAAAGCAGTAATTGAAATAGATGAATAGCCCAGTCATGGTCAACACTTTAGAAGAAATCGCATGAAAACAAGAAAAACTATGCGACGGTCTCATAAGAAAGTACAGACCAATTATTCCCTTACAAAAAGCGTTTCTGCTTCTACAACAAAATGATCTGTTTAGTGGCAAATATTCGGTCTTAGTCTATCAGTAAATCCAGGAACGTCTGTGTTGGCTAAAACAAGATAAAATTACCTTATGCGATGGTTGTTTGTTTTGCTCAATTGCGAAGCGGTCACCCTTCCACTGAGGCAAATTATCAATGACGAGAAAGTGTTACAGAGTAAATCATAAGAAAAATGTGTACAGCAAAATTAGACCCGCATAACCAAAGCATACCAGATTCAGTAACACATCCCAGAAGTTTAATGACGTAAGGATGTGGTTTTAGCTGTTTCATTGTGTCAAGTTCTTTCATCAAATCTCTCTTGTCCGATTCAGTAGCGTTTGCTGGAGCGTTAAAAACAAGGAGTAAAATTTTGTTAACGGGAATAATATGCGAAATGTCGGAATAACAACATAAATTATGAAATGGCAAATAGCTAAATAATTACAGTAACCCGGTAACATTTCCTGAATGCCTGTAGGCCAAGACTCATTCAATTTACAGTACAAGAGCTCACTTTTAAGCATCTTAATAGCCACTGTGGTCGTTTCAGGACTCCCTCGAAGTCCTACTGCTGTTCCCTTGGCAACCTGACCAAAAGCACCTTTACCAATGATTTTTTCTATGGTCACGTTATGTCTAGGAACTTCCCAGCAGCGTGTTAATGGATGAAGCGGCACGTAATCGGCACCAGGAGGGGTACTTTGTGCTTTTCTATTATCTTTGTTGACTTCTATGAGATCCATGTATTCCGCATGAGGCTGGGTGAGTTTTCTTGAATCAGGTAGACTTGGTTCGATATCTTCTAACAATGTTTTATTCTATTAAACCAACACACTGTTAAGGTATTCATATCTAAATCTGTTATTAATCCCAGTAAAAAGTACCTCATGGTTATAAAAATCAGTTCACCCATTTTTATCAGACAAATGTTTATATTCTTCCATGATAAGAGATTATAAATAGTTTATAACCTCTTGTCCTTATTATTACTAACATTTTGTTCTCTGCTTTTGAAACTATCATGTCCAGTAGAGTGATCAAGGCTCATAGCATATTCGTCGAAGCTACAAACTGCAACGTGAAGGTTGTCGATTGGTAGTCCAATATTTTGACAAATAAACGCACGAAACAACTCTTGCAGTACCAAGCTCCTAAACTCACGTTTAGAAAATAAGGCATCAAGAAAATACGACGGCCAAAATGCACGAAATCTATTATTTAGAAAGCAAATATCAACCAGGTGCAGACCAGTTAGCGATCTGTGAAGTGAAACCAAGCGGTTGAACCAGGGACAATCGAAGGAAAATCCATGGAGTGGCTTGGTAAAGGACATGATCACTGGACAAAGACCTTATTGAGCCTAACTTCCTCTTTTATTTCATTGTATCTGCCACTGATGCAATATGCTTTTTTTATGTAGAACTACAAATATTTTCCCTCTCATTTACTTACGTCGTAAACAGGTCTCTCATCTTCATAAGTCCTACAATTGAGAAAGCATAGAAATAATTATAAAACGCTAAGAATTTCATCAGTTTTTATTGGAGTTTTGTGTTAAGATGAAACCATATCGGGCACATTACATCGACACAATCCAACTAGCAGAAAATTCTTACCTCCGTTTCCCTACAGCGCCTGAAAAAGAACGAAAGGAAAAAATACAAATGATGTAAACGTGAGTAAAAATTTGCTTTTGCGTGAAAAAGAATCTTGCAGCCAAACATAGATTATGATTCTTTTACCTACCTTTCTTATGTAGCCAGATTATGTAAATAATTAGAAGAAGGACTGTGAAGGCAAGAACCCCAATTATGGCCAACAAGACGTTGTTAGATGGGCAGTTACATTCCTCAGGACCTAAAATGATTCATTTTGCAAAGCTTGATGAAATAACATTCAAACAACATTTACACTGATCCTGGTCGATACACTGCTCTCACTACATAGCATAGGTTCGTGACCGGAAAACGTTAACTCTAATTGGCTTGGTACGAAGGAAGAGTAAGGTGCTACTCTCTCTAAAATAATTTTTAAGAGTAAGACTTTGGAAAACGTTAACTCTAATTGGCTTGGTACGAAGGAAGAGTAAGGTGCTACTCTCTCTAAAATAATTTTTAAGAGTAAGACTTTGTTTAATTAAATAAAACAACAACGAAAAAATCAAAAACTTGGAAGTGTATCAGTCACAGAATAAGTTGTTTAATTAAATAGATACGGAATACAATTATAAAAAGTCCATCTTCGGAAGAATACGTGTAAACATTGAACAATGTCTTTGTAAAATTTACCTTTTGCTGTGCTTTCCGAGCCATCTGTGGGTAATAAAACTTGTTTAATTGAGTCTGGATTGACTTTAAAACCTCTGAATTTGTCTTGCCTTGCAGCATCCGACAGGACAATCAAAACATTGCTGACGACTACAGTTTGATTGAACCTCATCATAAAGTCAAGAACAACACTGCCACACCTAGATAAGGGGAGGGGGGGGAGGGAGAGAGAGAGCAAAGAGTATCATCGCACACGTTCGAACTTTGGTGATTTTTAAGTGTTAAAATATATTGAGATTTAACCAATGTATTAAACCAAGGTAAATAAAGACAATATCAAAGACAATATACTTCAAACATAAATTATCTTGTATTAAATAAGATTTACTAGAGGAGAAAAAAACACTTTTACAGCTAAAATACAACACATTGAAATAAAGCTCCTCCTACTAGAAGGCAAATTTGAGTTTGCATTTGTTGTTTCAGTGTAGAACAACAAACTGTACCTTACCTGGTGTTCACAGTGTTGGCGGATGAGCAGCCAAACCTGAAGGCAATTTGACAGGCCTAAAAAGGACATATGAAGAAAAAACGTATATTCAAATGCTTGTCACATATTGAAGATCGTTCAGAATATCTTATTTTTTTAACAGAAATATTAAGATTTGATTCAAGAACAGATTGATTAAGTTTCACTTTTCATGATAAATCTCATGGCAGTATTCCTTAAACTCCAGTATATGGATCAAGTAGATTATCTAACCATTTCTGGAAATTTCGCAGCAACTTCCGAACGTCTGCTACAGTTCTCCTGTATTGTCGCTGTCAGGTAAACTTCTGTGCTTACTGTTTGAACTGGAGAAAAACAAAATACGACTTAAAATGAACGTTTGTTTGTTTGTTTGCACAAGAATTATCATTTGAACTCATGTATAAAGCCTTTACTTAAAAAGAACACTGGCATAAAATGTACGAATGGGAGGCCAATTTGAGAGATATTGTTTTTCTTGTATTTTGCGTCACGATGGTGTCTTCAGAATCGTTCCCCTGGTCGTCTTCCTTTTCGCCCAAGTATAACTTTTTTAAATAACCGCAAGTTATGAAATAGATGACATCGGTAGAGCCAGTCTTAACATTATACTGACCAAACAGTTGTCCGTTTTACGCAAAAATAATATACCAGTTTTTGGATCATTTTGAAGTTAATTAAATTTGTTAGAAGGACAGGTCTTATTGCGTGATTGTGCCGCTAATATGGAATACGATCATTCTCTTCCTACTGTGACGTTTGTGGATTGCCGACTTTCGATCAGTTGTTAAAGACTCCCTTGAATGACAAAGGCAGGATGGCCACGGGTTTTTGAAGAACTGGCATATTGCCTCTGATATCTTGAAAAATCAGAACTGTCAATATATAGGCTATGAAGCCTAAGACACTGAGAATAAGGAATGGTATTCTTGACATGTAATGGATTTGAAGATGACAAAACCATGAGACTCCGTGGGTCTGCAGCACACCCACTAATGCATAGACCGTCATCTGTTAACTTTGACTTGTAGAGAAGCCAAAGAGGTGTCAGAAATTTCCCAGATCTATTTTAGAGCTGGATGAAAGTAACTGACAGCAGTTAAAAAATAATCGAGTTCCTCTCTGGTGAAAAAAGTAGAGCCTATACAGTGATCAAGGTAGCGACCTCAGATTTCAGCCCCCTATTTACGCCTAGTAGGTGACTCTATCTCTTTGTAATACATTTGTATGTCAAGGGTCGATTCCCTGTCATTATAAGTAAGTCCCGTCTAGGAATGTAATTTCTGAATTCGATATTATTCACACAGCCATCGGCTGAGAGTGTAATTGCTGCCGTTCGTGAAGATTCTTAAGCAAGACTGCTGTTTCGATTCTTTCAGAATCTCTTTGGTTTCCTCCTAAGAACGAATTTGCTCGCGGAAGAATGACGGGAGCCCACAGACCCTTCAACACTTTTTAACTTTCCTTTTTACGAAGGAGCGGCAACAGACAGTGAATTCCCATTACATACATTTCTCGCTACTCTCTCTTCCATCAAGAGATGTTCACTCGACTGCAACAGGATGCAAATGACTTAAGCCCCGTTCAAACGATCACGATCGTTGATGATAGACAACTGAATGATAGTTTCAACTTTCATTCACATCATTGACTATCAAGTTTGTGTTCAAACGGTTCATGATAGTCGATGATAGTTGACAAAATACCACCCAATGAGATCGCGTAATTGTACACAAATATGGTTCACGCTGAGGTCAGCAATTTCATTGGCATTTGAAATTTTAGTCAAGAAGTTACAAGTTAAAGATACTGAAGCCTACCAGGAAATGATGAGAATTAACTACGAGACATTCTGGGGAACTTCGACGGCTATTTTAGTCATTTTACCATTTGTCATTTCGGTTTGAGCCCGTTTTTGGCAAAACTGCTGACCTAACCATCATTCACTATCCTCCTCTCGTTCAAACAGCAAAAACTATCATGTCGAATTTGAACATGTCCAAACTACATGATATTTGATGAAATGCGATGATAGAGCATGATAGTTCGTGTTCAAACGCGCTTGATAGTTGAAACTATCGTCAACTATCCTGACCGTTAAACGGGACTTCAGTTTTTCTTTTGCGACCGTGATGAAAGGCAATCATAGTGCGCACAGGTTCAGGATAAATAACGTTTTCTTCTTCAGATGTCGTGTATGATGTCGGCGTCGGTTGAAATGATATTTCATTGAGCATCATTGTGAACTTTGGTTTAGGGAAATGAGTCAGAGTTTTAAAGAAACGACCGTAAGCGACTTCCAGTTAAGAGATTACCGGTCGATTAATAGATGGGTATAAGTGAGAACCATGAGTCAGTGAAACAATACGCCAGAAACGTACGGACTTCTCTTATATCTTCTCTTTATGTCGCCAGGTATGACTGTTCACTCCACAGTTTTCTCTATTGTGTCAAACTCCTCCGGTAATTGTATTAAATTAAAAAGAATAGTCACTTTCAACAAGTTATTTTCTCAATTCTTCTCTTTTGATTATTCGTGTTTCATGGTTGTCCTCATTAAACCAAATATCAATGATCATGGCAACTCTGGCCGCTGAAATATGAAATTTGTCTTGTATCTGTTTCATGCGCTGCTAAAGTTTGATTTAAACGAAGACAAGCTAGAACTAGAATATCTCATCTCAAACTTGATAACGACAAGAGACTTTAGATTCGACTTCAAAGATGTTTGTAGAAAACTAGAAAGGCTTCATGTGGGTCAGAGGATGTGAAGCAGCGCAAGGAAAGAATTTGCAACCCGTGTTTTGAGCGGGAAATCATACTGGTGAGGTTGTTGTTGAAAAGTGATTCTTGGTATTTTGGAATCTCTATTGAACTTGCAAGGCAACGATACTCAGAGCCAAATCTTTTCCAAACGGAAGAAATTACGACAATTCAAGTTCATGGAGAAAGGATCTCGAGTGAAAATAGACTGGAAATAGAGAGAGAAAGAGAGACCAAAGAGAGAAAGAACTGAAAAGACGTGGAGCGAGTCGAGAAAAACGCGAAATGGGGTTTGATAGGGCGAAGAATAGGCAGAACACAGCGAGGAGAAGAAATAGAGAACAAGAAAAGGCTGAAGTAAAATGGCGAATATCTAGTTAAGACCAACGTGAGAAAGTTGAAAGAGCTCCAGAAAACAGACTGAAAAGAGGTCAACAACAAAGAGAAAGCGAACTACGCTTGTAGCGAAAACGAAGATCCCCGAAAACTAAGACCTAAGACCTAAGAAAATGAAGACCCCTTCATGACCTTGAGACAGGAAGTTTGTGTCACGCTCTTTAGCTTCACCGAAAAAAACCTCTGAAAAGATTGACAACCTCTCTGCGTGAGGCAGCGTAATCATACATTGTTAATTAAGCTGAAGCGAAATCGCCGACAATAGGCCACTTCTGAGTTCTGTGGTTCAGTAATCTGGTGTCGAAATTACGGTGCGCAGAGGAAGCTAAGTGCGAAGTCGCTTTCATCGGTATGAAGAGTAAAGTGCAGTGGTGGTGAAAATGACAGAAGAGTTCTCGGAATTCAGTGTGGAAGTGTGAAATTTTTTTGCGGGAGAGAGGCATCAACTAACTGATGGCGGCAAAGGAAAGAAAAAAGCACTCAATTTAAATGTGAGAGGACAAAACAAAAGTGTTGCAGAGTTCTCTTTCCAGGGTTCAGGTGAGCATGTGTCAGTAAACTACTTAAAATATCTGTGTACGCCAGTCAATGATTGAAATCTCAGTTAATAGATATGCCATATATTTGCAGTTGGCATACAAATATCAACTGCGACGTAAGTTTAATTTTTCTCGTTGATTCAGGTTCTTGCAAGCGAAGAACTCACCCGTGAAAACCTCGATGTTGATGACACGGAGAGTGTTTGAAAACTAAGAAAAGAAAAGGATAAACCGTTGAAAGGAGAAAATAAGATTCATTTGAACATACTTCCTTCTGCCTTGACTTGCTGGATATTTGCTTTCTCTTGTTTCGGGCTTTCACCAAGCTCATTAGTGGCAGTAACGGCAAACTGATACACCTTTCCTCTCTCCAATGCTATTTTCAATTCTCTCACAGAAACATCGCTGATTTCCTTTATTATTGTCCACTGTCCCACTTTTCCATCAGTTACTACTCTTTGGTACACTGTATACATGATAATAACTTTTCCATTACTTTCTGGCTTCTTCCACTCCAGGGTAATTGTATCATCTGTTGTTTCATCTGGCAGTTCGTCTATTTCGACCACATCTGGGGCTCCTAGATTGATGTTAACAACACGAACAGCGTGAAATTTCCCATAATTATACAACTTCTTCTTACAAACCTGGTCACACCATTATCAGTGATTAAATAATCTGTAAATTGGTCGAGGATTTATTTGGGATGTTTTTGAAACGGAAGTGTATGGCAAGCAAAATTAAGTTAAGTATTGAGATGAAGCGATAATGAGAAGCCTAAAATGATGATCGGTTATTGCCTAAAACAAATACTGCATTTACAAGGTAAATTGTAACGACACACTGACTTCTACTGGTATTTCATTGCTATTTACACGAGATCAAATAAAAGACCGATGCATAGATGACGTCGCAATTCCCTATTCGTTTGTGTCCCGTAATTACAGAAAGGATCTCAGTTCGTGTACAACTATATTCTGCTTTTCAAAGTTTGACATCGCGCATGACTTAGTACAGGCACTCTGCAATGACACAACGGGAAAATGAGTGCGCATGCTCCGCTTTTTTCTCCAGGGAGGTTGCCAGTCGAGGAGGCAATGACAAGAAGCGCTTAAGGGATAACAGATGCGACGAACTTCATTGCCATGTTACGGCTGCTCAACTTCAGTTACTAAATGCACACCTGTTACCACAATACTTTTTTTGTTGAGTGAGATATGTGCCGGATGAGATTCGAAAGAAACTTTCTTGAAAACGGCAACCTTAACTGTTTTGGTTTAAGCTTATCCTTGCGAAATGAAAACAAGCTATTTCTCATCTTAAAAAAAGAAAAAAACCGAGGATTCTTCGAGGCCGTCCACACACTGTTTGACGAGATTTCCCCATAATATTTGCATGTTAAAAGCGATTTTCATGCAAGGCCCATTTCTTCAAACTTCAATTCTTTGGTCAAACGATGTGTGGAAATTGTCTCACTGCCTAAAGGGATAGTTGGTTATTGGGCGTTCTGAATATGGCCGGTACGAGTTTAGGAAAAATGTATCCAACTAACCTAAAGGTCACTATCTAGCGGCTGTTGTTGCTGATTCATAACAGATTTTGAGACCTGAACATTAGAAAATAAAAAAAATAAAATAAAAAAAAACGACAAGGCAAACAATACTTGATAAATCAGGTAGCACTTACGGAACATAACAGCGTAGGTTGTCTATTGTTCTCACCTACGTTCATTATTTTTTCTTTTTTTATTATTATGCTTCTTCAAACGTAGGTGCCTCTAAAACACTTATCACAAAGGGAAAGGAAACTGGCCATTAAGGAGGGGACAAAAGCTGAAAATCGAAAATCTTATAATGCGGCAAGCAGATAACATTGTTAAAACTGGGCTACTCACAACATATCTAAGTTAGCGAAAAATGATTGATGCAAAGTGCTCAGTCACGATATCACTTCTGATTCCTCACCTTCAAACTTGGTCTTAATGTTCCATACAGTAGGATCTCCCTCGAATACAAAATTTCTGGAAAACAGTTTCACTGTGTAGTTGGTATCTTTCTGCAAACCAGGAAACGAATAAGTTGTCGTCCCAGGATCGGTGATATTAACCTTTTGTATCTCAGTTTCATCCTTTTGTAAGATCATTAGGAATCCTGTAATCGGACTTCCTCCATCATCAGCTGGTGCAGTCCATCGTATTGTTATAGAAGTTGCTTGAATGACTGATTCTGATTTGATGGATGCTTTCCCTGGTTTTTCTACATAGTGCCATAAGAAAAGAGATCATTTTGAGTTTTGTCACCACACTAAGGATGAATGCAAGTCCATGTCTTCTCACAGTTTATTATTCAACTTTCCGGCATATACTGTTCGAATTCCGATTTTCTGATTAGATGATTTACATGATACTGTGTTGTGACGAAACAACCTCCTTGATGTCGTTATAGAGGTGTAATAGCCGAGGTGTAAATTCAACACACCATAGTGGTTTGAATACAGTGTTTCTTTGAGGAGCGTATTCAATTTGAACAATAACAATGGTAACGCACTCATGGCTCCTGAATTATCAGGATTTACTTGTACTCGTTCACAAACAATCAACTCGTGCAGGTAAATCCCCATAGTTCACTCGCTGAGTGCGTTAACCTGTAATTAATGAATATAAATGTAGCTACCGGATAAATTCAGCTAAGAGCCTAATAAAAATAGGAACAATCGATAGTCCATGGTTGAGGAAGTTTCCTATGGATACTCGCATGTGATGATGTCATCAATCTTCCTGAAGTTCAATGCTCTTTTATAACGAGTTTAATGCTACCAAAGGGCAAGGTGTCGACAGTTTACTTAATTCGGCATAATTTCCGTAATATTCTGTTATACCTCACTAAGGTACAAAGGCGAAAAATATGTGAAGGTCTAATGATGCTAAAGAGGGAAAAAATTTGTGAATGGAGCGCTCAGATGGCGAAATTGTTAGTAAATGAAAGAATGGTAGAATGATAAATCTCTTTATCAATAAAGGGCAAAATTACTGAGCGCTGATTGGTTGAGAGAGAGGGCATTTTTTCTTAATCGAGGGCATTTTTTCTTAATCGAGGGCATTTTTAGTAATCAAGAGAGGGCATGATTACCTTGTTCAGTTAAAAGGAATTTGTTGTTTTTCTGTTGGCAGAAACGCTCTGTTGAAATGAGCTTTGTTTTCTAGACTTTTGGCAGTGTATCACGACACAGTTTTGGAGAATAAAATTTCATTGAATCGATTGGTCAGTTCAATTTGATTGATGATTTGCCGTAGCGCTAAACAGGCTTGCCAGATAAAAATAGACTGCGCACGTGATTTTCCTTCGTATAAATTTTGCCCTTTATTGATAAACAAGTAATCCCATGAGACCTCGTACTATTAAGGATTAATTGCACTTGAGTTTTCAAAATTTTCCAAATTGCCCTCGTCGCTTCGCGACTCGGGCAATTTTGGAAAATTTTGAAAACTCTCGTGCAATTAATCCTTAATAGTACTTGGCCTCATGTGATTACATATACTATATATTATAAAATATCTGCACACATCAAATGTTAAACTATCGAATGAGATGTACAAAGTGAATGAGTTACTCTGTCCAATACTTTGTAAGAAAATTTGGCTTTTACTTCTACTGCAACTGAAACAGTGATAATGAGCAAAGGCAAAAGAAAATGCTGACCTCACATATAGATTTCTTTTTAATGAAAATACATTGATCTCATTGACTTACTTATCTGATTTATCTTTATTAATTTCTTATCAGATGGCGTAAGTCCATTAGCAGCAGTGCACTTGTAATGACCAAAATCTTGATCACCCCTGAGTGGCACTTGTATTTTGATTTCTCTGGCTCTGACTCTGTTTATTTCACTTCCTTCAGGTTTGTACCAAGAGAGTGTTGGTGAAGGAACGCCATCAGAAAGACACTTCAAAGTCACAGTCTGGCCAATCCAAGACTTCTTAGATGACGTGGTGACATTTCGAATTGTGGGCGGATCTAAGAATAAATGTTAATGCAATAAGCAATTGAATAAATAATTTGTGATAACTCATATCGGTCAGAACAGTAATGACCTTTATCATTTCACTGCTGTGTCATTTTACCAAAATATGCCATAGTATTACACTTTAGAACAAGCCAAAAATACGTAGCAACATAGCCCTGAACGATCCAAACTTTCATTTTTTTGTTTAATTATTTTCATAATTTGTCTGTTTAAGAAGCGAACTTTTAAGGAAGAAAGAACATCTTATACGACCGATACGATACACAGATAAGGCCATAGGACGTAAATCGCATACTAAAATTAAAACACTGATAACTGAAAATAATAGTGGAATAATAAATCCATTAATCGAGAGTTTAACTTCTGATACGAGCGGAAATTTTGCTGATTGCTCATATTTTCTCTCACCTCTTCAGGGCGCGAAAAAAAAATACTTCGCAACCAGAATGAGGTGTACTTATTTTTTTTTTAGAGGGCACGCTAACGAATCCTGCAATCTGATGGTTCCTTAGCGCGGTCCGTATTTTCCTATCTCTGCCTACGGGCATAGCAACACCTATCGTGAGATACAGAGTCATCCGTACCTTCGTTACCATTCCTTTTAAAAAATTTCGTTAAGCTAGCTGGGCATTATTTTTAAGCAAAGACGTGAATCAAGACCTGAAGCCGATAAAGAACTTTTTAATACTCTCTCTTCTCTCTCTCTCACTGAAATCTTTTTAAATGCCAGAAAAATATTGGTTCAGAAATGAATTTTTGGTAGAATAATTGCGTCATTAAATGGGTTGACTTGCGGCCTAAAAACCGTTTGTAATTAATTTTAATCCTTCACAAAAAGTTAAAACGTGAGGTATTTTTTTATAATTTCATGAATCAATGGGACTTGCACTGATTCAATAGCGGAGCGCGGAGAGCACGCAGCGTAGACTAAACTTATTGGAAAAATAATGATTGCAACAGTAACCCATCAAGTCGGAAAAATTTGACCGTACGACCAAGAGGAGGGTTGTCCAACACACTCAAACCGCTATGATTCGTCAAAGGCAGTTGGCGAATCGTTTTACCGGAAGTCGATTCGCGGTTAATGCGTCCAGTTATACCGGAAATCTGATAAACCATCTCTCATTAGATTGAAACGCATACCCGAAGTCGATTTGCAAGACACTTAGAAAATATTTCGCAAGTAACTGTCAAGGATTATTGAAAACGTTGTCGAATAAAATGACTCGTTTCAGTCAAAGTTGACCTTCCTTACCAGAAGTCGATTTGCAAGACACTTAAAAAATATTCCGCAAGTAGCTACTAAATGGGGGTTGAAGATGTTGTCGAATCGACTCGATTCGACCGACTCGTCTCAGTTAAAGTCGACCTGTCACACCGGAAGTCGATTTGCAAGGTACTTAGGAAATATTCTGCAAGTAACTACCAAAGGTCGTTGAGAATGTTGTCGAATCGAACGACTAGTCTCAGTTGATGTCGACTCGTCACACCGGAAGTCGATTTGCTAGACAACTTAGAAAATATTCCGCGAGTAACTACGAAGGGAGGCTAGAGACGTTATCGAAACGACTCGATTCGACTCGAATCGAACGACTCGTCACAGTTGATGTCGACCTGTCATACCGGAAGTCGATTTCCGAGACGACTTTACTAATGACGAGTCGAGTCGACCCGTGTGACTCGAGTCGATTCGTCTATATTGAATACCCCAATTAACGCTTAAGTATGTATTGTCTTCTTTTGCGAATCGACTTCCGGTGAGACGGATCTATTTTGCTAATGACGAGTCGTGTCCACCTGTACGAATCGTGTCGATTCGTCAACATTTAATGCCTCTGTTTAATGCTTTAGGAAGGAAGAAGGCTCATTAAAATATTTATGATATTCTGAAAATGGAAATCCGGCCGTTTCACGCTTTTAGAACGTGGAAGGTTCATGTTGTCATCTTCTCTTTTCATGCTACTCATTTTCACACATTGCTTACCACCCTCCACTTCCGGTATGTTAACGCATGATTCGACTTCCGGTGTGTCGAACTATCGGCAAAACATGGTACTTTTCGCAAAGTCCGAACTTTGGTTGTCTTTGTGTGCGGATTGGCTCCGAAGTATATTCTATTGTTACTTACTCACTTTCGGGAAACTCAATACTCACTACTTTGCTCACGCGTAGTAGTCACAAAAACGTCTCAATAAAAAAATCGAAAATGGTTTTTCCATTTGGATAGATCATTTTCCCTATTGCTCTTGAAGAAACAATTTCGAAAACACACTAGTTTTGGAAAGTCTGGCAGCATGGAGAAATTTAGTCGCGACTCGAATGTTGTTCTCTCCTTCGCTGATGTAAATGCAACGCATCTTTCTTTAGGATTACGTATTACCAAAAAGCTTCGGGGTAAGGATATCAATGGAACATTGCTCTTTTTTTAAAAGATTGAGCGTGGAAAATTTCAATTCTGCATGGCCAAGACTGCAAGTACAGGGGAATGCAAATTACCCAAGAATAAAATAATTTTATCATGTTCCATCTTTGGCATCCTTCACCGCCGCCGGTTTCATCTGTTGCTTGCTCGTAAACAAACGTCCACCTTCACAAGAAGCTGTTATTGGGAAGAATTTGTCGTACATTGCCCTATTTGGCTGTTTGTTTTAATTTTTTTTTGGTTAAACCTTAATTTAATTGAAACCTGTCCGAAATTAATGTACGTATATTTGTGTTCATTCTCACTGAGAAGAAGTGCTACTCACCTCTCTCACGACATCGTAAGCCCACACTATACTTCGTGGAAGCGCGGAAAACAAAGAAAACATAGTTGGTAAACACCCTTTTAGACAGAAATGAAGTTCACTGTAAGTCATTAATGGTGATAGAAGATGCCTTGAGACTATTAATCGGAAGAGATGCCATTTGCGATAAATAATCGTAATTTAAGGACTTCAAGACAAGTAATCGTGAAATTTCACTCCAAAAATAAAGAAAAATCCGGAAATTAATAAACACCTGTTTACACTAGTTGCCAGATTAAGCAACATAGGCTTGAATACTAAGACAAAACAGCTCATAACTTTTATTTCTAGGAAGGGCAACCTTTAGTCTCTGTTTTCAACGACATGCAAATTCGTCAAAACGAAAATCTTCAGTGCCCCCCTCTTTTCGAACGACTGGCTGCAAGTCCACGTGGTCTTTGAGCAATACTGAACGACTTCATAAAAGGAGGTGTGCGTTGGCGAAGGGGAACATCCATCGGCCTCGAAGTGAAAATCAGAGGTCCTGCCTCTCCAGTACCAAGACAATAGGGAAATTATATTGTCAATCCAAAAAACAAGGTATGGCTCGAATTATTTAGTTCAGCAAGTTTTATTTAACCGTTGAGTTCTAGTTTTGTTGCCTGCAATTTGAAGTTGTAGCAATCGACATTCGTTGTGTTTGATGTACGTTTAAACTTTCACTTTAGATCAATTCTTGAATATGAATGCTAAATTTTTGACACTTAGTAAACCTGTGCGATTTCCTGTCGGTTGCTCTCTACAAACCTCTTCTGACCCGATCATTGTATGAGACCCTATTTATGGGGTCCTGGCTTCCGGACTAAATATGTGCTCTAATTTACACATTCAGCCAGTGGGCATTACCGCTGTATAATACCTTGCTCTGATGTTGTTCTTAGCCAATCAGAGCACCATTATAATGGCCACATGCCTAAGCCGTATAATAATAAATATATATATATATAGTGATGTAGGGGTTGAATAACAATTGGAACGAAAGTTCTCGGGCTGCAAAAGGAGAAAGAAACAGAACTGCCGTTCCAATTGCTATCTAACCCCCTATATCACTAACATACACTAAGGAAATAAATAGACATGTTGTAAATGTGTTTTGTAAATTCTGTTACAATAGTATGGATTACTTGTATAAAGATAAGCCAGTTTCCACTCGAATTTAACAGATTCACTTCACTCCATCAGCAAAAGCTTCATATCTTTCTTTTGGATAGTGTTAGGCCAACCTTATTAGCATCTTTCCCACTCTTACTAATTTAATTTTCTCCTTTCCCATTTGTCCCTTGCAGCGTGACATTAACAAAATGTAAGGAAGCCATTTTAAAATTTGGCGCTCCTGCTATAATTACCTCACCCAAGGTGATTAAAGCGAGATATGACGCACTCCTCTACCAATCAGAGTGCATGCATCTCTATAATCACCCAGCCATTGACCTAAAAACATATATCAATAGCAGCCAGGAGGATTATGAGTTTCTCGTTTTGAGAGATAAATATTGTTTAGGCTGGCTTTAACAGAGGAAAAATAGTGCATTGTTTTTAAACTAGATAGTAACAAGTTCCAAAGTTCAGCATTTCTAATGAAATACGATTTCCTATAATAATCTTGATGATGTCCGTAGATTAAGTTATCATCATTAATGTCAAATTTACGTGTAGGATGACATGGCTCAAAGTATGCAAGTACATGTATTCCCTTACATCGATAGATATAAGACCATTCCTGGACTTGAAAATAGAAGCAGGTCTGATATCTCTTTACAAAAATCAAGAGGCGGTAGTGGAAATTACTGTTTTCACTCACTTTCTCTTGTAAAGAGGCAGATATTGAATATGGTTTGTTAAAGAGGTTGTCACAGAGCATCAGTAACGATAGATTTGTACTTGCACAAGTGCAACCCTAAAGCCAAAATGTGATCGGTGGGAGCAACAAACCCTTACGCTGCGATTTCTTGCAATTGGCTTGGGCGAAACGGCATCTCTGGATATTTACGTTGTTTTTGTTTGCTTGTTTTTTTTCTTACAGGAAATGTTTTATATATGTGGTATATTCCAAGAAAGCATGTCTGGTGTAATTTTGATGGGTGAGTTCAAAATCTAGAGATTAGCATAACGTTCATGCTTGCTTTTTATCTGCTCCTAACAACAGAGGTCGAATGCTTGCGCATATGCAAACACGGAAACAACGAATAGTTTCCAGTAATCGGATCCTTGCGTTCGCGCACAGATTTCTGGGATCGCCACGGGGCAAACATTGTAACTCGCGATGAAGGAACGTATGGCGAAAGGTTGTTTGGACGTCCAAAAAAAGCGATTTTGGCAAGAGATTATGAATTTTTCGCAGTAGTTTTATCATATATGGATAAAGATAATGTTGTTACCTTGAAAGTTAAAGTTTTTGCTGGAATTAGCACGAAATATGTTATAAAAAATACCGAAAAACTTGCGCAAGGTCTATTGTGAAATCGTCATCTCGTAATGGTCTCAAAGTATTTCAAAATTACCCAGAAATCGCTGGGAAATAATTCTTTTAAGTCTTTTCAGTTGTGTTTGAAAATATAATTCTTCAAAGGAGAGAAGTCGTTGTCAGCGGTGATGGAAATTTATTTTACCGAGCTGATGCTCACCGAAAGGATAAAATAAGCGATGAATTAAACCATAAGGAAATCCCCAATTTAAGTGATAGTTTGTTTGAGAAAAATCCAAAGATCTTTGGGCTGCAATTTCACTTCTTGAACTCCCTAAAGGTTCCTGTCAAGAAAATCAAAATCACGGGAAAAAAAACTGACACGGTTTGGTTGAGTTATTCCTCGGCGATTTATATGTTTAGTTTTTCTAAATTTCGAGACCATTACACGATGTCAAATTCACAATAACCCTTGCGCATGGAGACAAGTTAATCGGTAGATTTTACCACATATTAAATGGTTTTCCAAACAAAAACTTACTCTTCCCTTGTATCAGCATTACCCTAATCCATTACTGATAAAGAAGCGGCGAAAAAGCGATAATCTCACTCAAAAATCTTTTATTTAGACATCGCACATAGTACAGTCCGTCACTTTTGTGTTATTTGGCAGTCGAGTATTCAGTATAAGGTGGCAAGGCCTACGAATAATGAAATATAAAATGGATATCTCGCTCTCAAATAGTATATCTCTTCGAGCGCCACACATGCAAATATGTGCACAAACCTTAGGCATGTATGTTTAATTTCAGCCCGTTTTCACATCTACCACCTGACCTCAGCTATCAGTAAAAAAAAGTGTAATTTCTCAGCTGACAGTGAGGATCTTGACCAATTCTCGGATTTCCATTAAGCCTCAACTAGAGCCCTCACACAGAATCAGAATATGTGCGAGCCTTGTGCACTAGTCAAACGGAGTGAATTTGGGTTGTCACAAAGACTCACAAATGGCTTTAAGCCATTTTCTGAGTTACACACAGTCCAACTGAAGCAATGACTTGTCACGCCCTCCAAAGCAAAAGAATGTGAAAAATGATTCCACCTATATTCAATTGTCCCAACCAGTACTTGAGACTGATGCACACAAAGCCGAAAAGGATTTGAGATGGGATTCTGTTGCCTTACACTTTTGAACAGATTCGTCAGTTTTGGGTAACTGAACCAAATAACAGGAGTTGCACTGAAAATAAAGTAAATTCAGAAATACAAAATTAAGGTTAAAATATACTTACAGTGAACTACAATTGTTGTGTTAATAGAGGTGACTTCCACTGAGTTATTGGCTCGACATGTATATTGTCCTGCATCCGTTCTGTCTATATTATCGAACCTTAAAAACGTAGCTTTCTTCCCTGAACTTTCCAGTTCTCCATTTCTAATCCATGCTACATCCGGCAGTGGTTTCCCAGAAGCTTCACAGGCTATGGTGACAGGGGATCCTTCAATGTAATATTTTCCTCCTAAAGAGATTTTTATAAGTGGTGTCTCTGAAAGATAAAAGAGATTATATCATTCCTCATATGGCGTAGCAAATTTTGGTTGGACTGAGTTTTAAAATTTACCCAATTTCAATAAAATCAACATAAGTATTCCGCAATTGGTCCACCACAACTAACCAGTAGAAGAAGGCTCAAAATTTATTCAATACAATTTAGCTTGCTCACAAGCTAAATTGTAAAGCAGAGCCCCAGTCTCGGGAATTAAGAGCTAATTCAGGAAGCCACTCATTGGGCTAAGGACCCCGACTTCTAAGCTACTCCCATTTTTTTGGATAAAAGTTTTTGCTGCTGCACAAACAAATAGGAACAGAGCCAATCAAGCCACACCTCACTTGGAACTTGGTCTGACAAAGAATATACTGAAGATATCCTCCACCCAGAGAGCTGAAATTTTGATGAAAGAGAAACTATGGATTCTTCCCGATAAAAGGAATACACCAGTGGTATGGAATCCTCGATTATAATTCTGAACTCTTTTAATGGAAACTTCTACTTCTCTAATCCTGCTCGTAATAACAACCCAGTGCGCATACTCGTAATGCAATATAAGACACTACATCTCTCCCTTCCTCTAAGAATGAGAAGGGTAAATGTCACTATGAAAATGTCACTATGAACAAAAACAAAACTCAACATATCGTTTCCTTAGACTATCTGTCCAAATAATGTTCAAGTTACATGGTTCTTGAAATGTTCCAGGCAAATGTTCAAGTCACATAGTCCTTGAAATGTTCAGGCACCCTTCTTGTTCTTTCCGATCTGCGAAGTGCAGGTGGTGCTTCTGGTTCATCCTCAACTGCTTCATCTGCTTCATGATATCCTTCAGCTACATCAGCTGCTTCAGCTGTCTCAATGCTGGGTGTAAATTTTTCTTCCTCGTCACTTGGAGTGAGTTGTACTGGTACGCTGGAAGGCAGCTTTTTGAAGTATGACGCATTTCTGGTTACAGTGCGTTCTGCGTTTTGGGCCGTAATCATGCTTCCTTTCTTGCCTTTTATCTCAGTGGCTCAGGTTTAAATGGTGTGGACATCTTGTTCTGCTTGGGTTGTTTTAGCAATACTTTGTCACCAACACTTAGGTCTGTGTTTTTGGCATGGCTGCACCTATCCGCATATTCTTTCATCTCTGTCTTTCTCTTGGCATCGGTTTGTCTAACCTCTTGAGGTGCCAGATCGTGTTGTATCTGAGGTAGTGTGGATTTGAGTTTTCGTCCATTCAACAATTCAGATGGAGACTTTCCTGTGGTGCTGTGGGGGGTTGCCTTGTACTGCCGAAGAAAGGTGAACAGCTCTTGTCTCCAGTTCTTGCCTTCTATGACGGCTGTCCTAATTGCCTTCTCTAGTGTTCTCATCAGTCTCTCCGCCTCCCCATTTGCTCTGGGCCACATAGGAGTTATTCTGCGATGAGTGAAACCAAAGTGAGTGGCAAACTTTTGGAAATCTTCGCTGTTGAAAGGTGGACCATTGTCAGTTCTTACTATGTTGGGAATTCCTTGTCTAGCAAAGATACTGTCAAGGTGTGGAATTACTGCTTTTGCTCATGTTGACCTCAGGATCTAAACTTCTGGATATCTGCTGAAGTCATCAGTCACGACTAACAAGTAGTCTCCATTTGGAAAAGGACCACAGAAATCCATGGATAGCTCTTGCCACGGACCTTGTGGTAGTGGGGACATTTGTAGAGGCTCAGAAACCGGCTTTGCATCATGGTTTGCAGCTTGACATGGTAGACACTCTCTTACCATTTTATCTATCCCTGGAAACCAGACTGAATCTCGCAGAAAACGCTTCGTCTTGACGATGCCTTGATGTCCACTGTGGACTAACATAATCACTCGCTGTCGTAGTCTTCCAGGAACTATTATGCGGGTTCCTCTCAGAATTACACCATTTGATACTGACAGCTCCTGTTTGATCTGTTGGTACTGACTGACATCCTTTCCGACTTCGTGCCACTTTTGAGTTGTTATCACCCTTGCCAGGTTCTGCAATGTTTCATCTGTTGCTGTCGCATCTTTGATCTCTTGAAGGGTAACGGCAGATGGCATAGCATTAGTGATCACAAAGTTGACATAGGCATCAACTCTCGATAAATGACGGGGGGTCTGTGACTGTTTGGGATCAGGATGACGACTCATGTAATCGGCTGGGTTGTCTGCTCCTGGCTTGTAAACAACTGCAGTTTCATATGGCTGTAGGCGCAGCTGTAGTCTTTCAAGTCTCGCAGTTGCCTTGCAGGTGGGGTTGTTGAAAATTGTTTCTAATGGCTTGTGATCTGTGATGACGCGAAAAGATGATCCATACAGGTACAGGTGAAAGTGTTCATCTCTCCAGATCACTGCAAGGGCCTCTCTTTCGGTTTGACTGTAACGGCTTTCGACTTGCATAAGCTATAATGTTCATTCCTCCATCTGTTGTTAATTGTGTGAGAATTGCTCCCAGTCCAACAGGGCTGGCATCAACGATCAGCTCTGTTTCCAACGAGGGATTGAAGTACTTCATGACTTCTGGAGTTGCCATGCGAGCCTTAAGACAAACAAATGCATGTTGTTCTTCTGGGCCCCACACCCATTTGGCATTTTTGTGTGTGAGTTGACGGATTGGAGCGGAAATGGATGCAAAGTCCTTGATGAAGCGTGCAAGGTACTGGGCCAAACCAAGAAAACTGCTCGTCTGCACTGATGCCGTCTGCAGAGAAGTGATGGCCAATGAAGTCAATGGATGATTGGTTGAACAGACACTTGTCAGGGTTTGCAGTTAGATTGTTTTCTCTCATTCTCTGAAGAACAGCTCGTAGAGCCTCGTCATGATCAACTTGGTTCTTGCCAAACACTATTATGTCGTCAGATATGTTTCTTGCACCTTCAACTCCTTGTAATACCTCTTCTATAGACTTCTGAAATATTTCAGCTGCTGAGTTGACTCCAAAGGTGAGTCGCTTGTATCGAAATAAACCAATGTGCGTGGCAAAAGTAGTAATGCCTCGAGAATTTTCTTCCAGCTCAAGTTGGTGATAGCCTTGGTTTAAGTCTATCTTGCTGAACACAGTGGATCCATTCAGATCAACGATCAGGTCTTCTACAGTAGGTATTGGGTGTCGTTCCCGTTCTATAGCCTGATTGGCCGCTCTCATATCGACGCATATGCGTATTCCTGTCTTCTTTGGAACTACCACTATCGGGGACACCCAGGGAGTCGGTCCTTCAGCTCGTTCTATTATGTCAAGTTCCTCTAGATTCTTGAGCTCAGCCTCGACTTGTTCGCGAACGTGAAATGGTAGTCTACGGAACTTCTGAGCAAGTGGTCTTGCACTACTATTGACATGTAATTTCGCGGCTTTATCTTTCATCTTCCCCAGCCCCTCAAAGCAATCTTTGTATTCCCCCACGATGTCATCCACCTGGGGTGCTGATACACTGTTTACTATGCGCAGCAGTCCGAGATCAGTTGCCGTCTCATAGCCTATCAGGTTTCCATCCTGTCCGTCAACGACACAGAATTGTGCGACCTTGAATTTGTTGGTCACTCCCGACTTGATGTTGGCTTCGAACGTTCCAACGACTGGCAAAGGCTCGGAAGATCTGTAGCCATAGATCTTCTTTAAAGTAGGTGAAATGTGAATATTCTCCATATGATTGAAAGTATACGTGTCAATAACATTCACTCCCGCTCCTGAGTCGATAAGACATTTCACTGTCTTTTCTCCAATGATAACTTCAGTTAATGGTTGTGCCTTGTCACGCACGGAGTAGAGAGTGATACGGTAGGTGTATTCTTCATCAGTGGACTCATCACTATCTCCTTCACCCACAGTGTTGACTTTCTTGGCAGTTAATCTACTTCTGCACACTGTAGCGAAATGACCCTTTTTGTGACAGTGCTTGCACGTTTCTTTCAGGGCTGGACAAGATCGCCCTTTATGAGGGTAGTGTTCGCCACATCTGTAGCATTTCTTGTTTTCGGACGTTCGCTTATCTGTCTGGACTGGCGATACTTTGGCTAACTTTTCGTGCTCCTCAATACCTTTCGCTTGCTTGTCAGACATTTCTAGACCCCGGCCATAGGCAAGTAAGTCTTTGAGATTCATATCTTCTCGTAGAGCTCTTCGCCGCAGTCGTGAAGATGAACAAGAGACGACTATGTGTGATTTGATTTCTTCGTCTTCATTGGCAAACTCACAGGTTTGGGCCAGGCGTCTGAGCCGTGTGCAGAAGGAATCTAACAGTTCACCAGGATTCTAAGTAGCATTTCTGAACATGTAAATTTCGTACGTCTTGTTTACTTTGGGCTGGAAGTAAGCATTCAAAGCGGTTACGGCTTTGTCGTATTCTTTCTCTTCGCCCTGGTCTGGAAGTGTTTCGAAAATGTCGGCGACTTCCTCACCAGCGGAGTATAGTGGCAGCGCTCTCTTGTGTGTCGGATCTTTCACCTCATGAGCAGCGAGATACATTTCAAAACGCTTCAACCATTTTTTCCAACGCGGACCGACTGAAGCGTCGTCTTCATGTACGGAGAATGGAGGAAATGGAGGTAAAATATTCGCCATTTCGCTTCAGCAGTTGTGTAATCGTTCGGTGTAATCTTGTGATGCAATTTTCCGGGAATCTTCCGTGGCGAGTGTATATTATTGTTCAACTGAGTCGAGAAGTCTGGATTTTCACCTCAAAACAGTTTCAAGATGGCGGCCAGCGCACGTGGTGGTGAGAAGAATGTTGTTTTTTCCATTGTTTATCCGATGTAGTTGTTTCGAAATGACTGTAAATTGATTTGTAGTTGTAGGTGAGCTCGTTTGGGATATCCTCGTCGCCAGTTATGGAATCCTCGATTATAATTCTGAACTCTTTTAATGGAAACTTCTACTTCTCTAATCCTGCTCGTAATAACAACCTAGTGCGCATACTCGTAATGCAATATAAGACAC